TGTGAAGGACTGTCACTCATAAGCAAAAATTCACTAATGGCATTAAAAGTTACTTGTCAAAAACGTCAACTATTCAGTTTTCCGTGGAATTTAACAGAACACCGGACCAAACGAGACAGAAACATAACGCAGTTGCCCAAGTTTTTTAAGGTACGGTTATGATACGCGCTACAAAATATCCAAAGCTCTGTAGGTTAATAATAAAAATAAATATGCATACCCGTTCATAGCTTCGGAAGTTTCAAAGGCAGGAATTTCCCCAAATTCGACGACTGAGAATCTCCCGTTGTCACTAAGCACACAACAAGTGGCCTGGCTGCTATCCAATATGGCTGTCTCCCAATGAGAGTAAGGAGTAAATACGAATCAATACGTGGTAGGCGTAGAGGTGATTTTGAATTAATAAATCCATTGTCTCATTTTCTTTATTTCTTTAAAAATTCTCACGTTTCCTCCACGCTTAATCTGTACATATTCAATCGTATTACATGCTTTCCACAGCTTGTGCGATTCAAGACGACTTGCAACTCTTATTGGTTGTTCCGCCTCTTGGATACTACGAACTGGCGGGAAATTAACGAGCACTTTCCAATGCCGCGGCATGTGAACATGCTGACGGACCAGACGCGAACATTCTTCTGTATAAATCCATACGCATAAGTTCACTGATAATCAATTCTGAATGTTGAACCATTGAAAATTATTAATGCTTTAATCGCAACGGTATTTCTTACCACAAAAGAGTATCCCTAAAGAATAAGAATTGCATTTTCCTTGTTCAAGTTGATTGGATAAAGTAGTGAATTAACAATTCATTGAATTCACGCAACAAATATTTATTTTATCCTAAAATCTTGTATGCAATTAAAGAGTGCATTAACATTGAAATTATCACACAATCTGGACTTTTTTTTAATATGAATTCAAATTGTTAAAAGAAATCCCTTCTAAAATATAAGAAAGAATTCCTAATAAAACCTTACATTATACTAGATGAATGCAAGTACACTTTGCATGCAGTTAGTGTAAGCTACATTTGCAACTGTAAAAGATTTTCATGAATAGCATAAACAGTTTTGTGATTAAATTTTTTTTTTTTTTAAATGTTGAGTACTATGCACCAGGCACATACATTAACACAACAGCTTGAAACATCTATTACAATACCATAATAAAAGTCAGTAATATCTATAATACTTTGAATAGAACATTAACACAAAATTAATACAGATTTATGCACACATGAAATCCCACAAAACCTCACACTATGACAATAACAAATAATACAGAATAACTCATATAGATGGAACTGAAGTCATCATTGTTTTAACACAATTATCAATTGATGGATTTTGTCAAACACAGAGTTAAAATATTTCAATTTTCTTTTAACACAGAAATGGAATAAAAATGTCACACAAAAATCTAAGAACATCTTACCACCTGGATTCAATATTTCCCAAATTTCTCCAATTTTTTTCCATGAAATTAACTTTAAATTTAATAATTGTATTACTTCACCACAATATACACAAATATACCAGTCTTGTATGTTTTAAAAATCAAAATTGCAAGTGCTCTGAAGCACCGCTTTGAGAATCTTTAAGACAAAATATAAGTGGAACTGATAATGTTCACAAATCTACAATTGGCCACAAATAACACTACTCATAAAAATAAAATTATTTTTCATCTGGACGAGAAAGCCAACTAAGCTTAGTCTTATCATAGGATGCAACTCATAAAGCAATTTTACAAAAAGGAACGAAGAATTTACTCACTCTGAAAGGATCACTTCCAAGAAACATGTCACAAGAGTTGAGTGTTGTCATCACCCCAAGAGAATATACTTACAAGGAAGAAAAATATTACAATTCTCCAACTCGTTTTATCCATATTTACATCTCTTAAATCTTTCAATAAGTTTCAAGTAAAATACACTGATATTATAATTTTAAAGAGGTATGCCAAGGAAGATTTCCTTGAAAAATAAAAACCAGTACAAAGTATAATCATACTGGTGAAGTCACTTTTACCTTTCATGATAATTATTTTACACACTATTCACAATTTGAAACGTAAAATGAGAAGGGCAAAAAGCTTTCTGTACGGCTCTGCCACCTGCTTCCCAAGTAATGTTCAAATATATATGTGTGTGTGAGTGAATGTACTATGTACATTAATGTACAGTCTATTTAACTATTCATTCTAAACATCTATTTAACAGGTTAAACTTTTATATCTCTCAAAATACTTATGTAAATAGTCTAGCTGCATAATTAGGACAAAGCAGATTGAATTTCAAAATGAAAATTTGTGCTATTTTACAATAAATAAATAACAGTATATAACCAGGTATTTGTAAACAATTTATTGACGGAACAAAACTTGTGATTTCCATGTGTGTTACTAAGAAAATATTGTTTACATGGTGAGAACACTGTGTATAAAAATAATTTTTAAAAAGTATAGAAAATGTATAGTTTTAAAGCAAATGGCTAATGGTATTAGGCTGAAAAATAAACATTATAAAGTTGAGACATTCTATGCATATTCCATGTTTATCTTCCTGATTTTGGGGCATAGATTTGCTCTTCTTTTCTCAAAAAGGAGGGTAAACTGTATTTTAAATAATACGTCAATATCCACATTAATTGCGCAAACTAAAAGAGTATAATGACTAGATGGAAGTTGTTTCCTTTCTCATACACAACAAAAATGAATAAAGTAACTATAAAAAACAAAGTAATCACAAGGTATCTTAAGTTCAAAATCAGGTTCGGTTTCAGGTTCAAGGATAGGATTAATACTCGATATGCCCAATGTAAAAGATGACTAATGCATCAAAGTATGCATGACAGAAGGTCCAATTAACAAAAGATTAAAATTAGAAGGTCCAACAGAGGTCTAATATGTATAAAAGGTATATCAGATCCAATTTCAAGTTTCAGAAAATGATCATCTCTCCATGTGAAAATATTGGGAACACCTAAAAAGACACCAGAGGAATAACAAAGTCCTCACCACTTGGGCAAAAACAAATACATCACTAAATTACAAAATATTACCAAATCAATCAAAGCCTAGCACAGCAAACAGTACCAAATTACAAAAATTATAAAATATCACAGAGCTATTGGCTTATACTTACTATTTGAGCAACAGATTCAAATTCCAGGATCCACCCATACGAGAAAAAGAAGAATGATAATTTCAACATCTTTCTCTTATTACATACATTAGGTACTTTGTGAATTTAAGCTTGTAACTCCATATTGCAGTTTCATTCTAATACATACTGACATATACTACCACAATAATACTATGGACAGCAAAGTGTTATATTTCTCTGTTAGACCAAAATTGATTAGACATTTGTATCTGTTGGAGCAAATTGTTATTACACATTTTTGTTAATTGAACCAAATTTTAATAGATATTTTGAATAATTAGACCAAATTTTTATTAAACAAGTTTTCATGGACCTCTTGCCATTAGATTTAAAATATTAGACCTTCTGTCATTAAAACTAATACCATCAGACATTGTGACCTCTAACCACAGGTTCAAGTATCAGTCACACTAATTAGAAAGAATTAGCTTGAACTTCTGCATGTTTCCTGAACATTGTATTTCAGAAAATTTCCTTTGCTCCACAAACCAATGTCAAAGTAAGAGAATGTAGTAAGGGATGTGTTTAAAAGTATTTGCTCTATTGGTGATTAAACATAATATCATCTCATCTATGACATCAAGTGAACATCATGATTTGCCATTATCAGATATTTATCCCACATAAAATGTCCCACATTTAACCTAAACTACAGTGATTTAAGATACCAGTATTTAGTTATTTCTTAATTTTCCTGATATAAAGAAATTAATTTGATAGTCCAATTTCCTTCTCTCTACAAAGAAACAGTTTATTCTCATCTTCTTTCTCAATTTCTGGACAAAAGAAAATGCAAATAAACTGATTCAATGATAAATAATATGTAGATTATTCTGAGGGTTGGGATAGAAGTCATGGCAACTATTTTTTTCTAAAAGAAATGTTATTGGATCTCACAATTTTATTTGTCACATGAAAGAAATGCTGTACTGTGTGTTCACAACAACACACAAAAAGGCAACAAAAATGAAATTCATAATTATTGGCCACTTTCTCTTTTGTCGGCTTTTTCAAAAATATTAGAAACTTGTGTACGTACGAATGGAAACATTTCTTAGTAAACAAGACGCACTTTTGGATTGGCAACATGGGATTCGAAAACCAAAATCTACGGAAACAGCCATATTTTCTTTTCTTAAAGAGTCTCCTCATCCACGGATCAAAACGAAGCAAATTACCTTGGTATGGAATTCGTGGCGTTGCTCTTGATTGGTTAGGCCAAACCTTAAATGAAACATCCATTTAAATGAACTGAACACTAAATTAAGTTCTTTATGCTACGCTTTCAGAATTCTTTCCAATTGAGTCAGCCTCCTCACTGCTCATTGTGTATATTTCGTGAATGTTCATTCCCGCTTGAGATATGGCATAATATTCTGGGGAAATACATCTTGTAGTTGCAGAAAAGAATTGTACGAATAATAAGCAAATTTCACCCACATGATTCTTTTGAGCCTTTCTTTATTAATCTAGGTGTTTTACCATTACCTTGTCTCATAATATATGAATCAGTGTTTTTTGTAAAAAATGATTTAAGGGCGGGAATATATTTTCAGCAAACATTGTTGTCTATAACTACAACACTGGACGTAGTAATCATATTCATCAGCTAACAGTATCAACAGCTCACTACAAAAAATGCACATTATTTTACAACACCTTGTCAGATGACAAAACGATTAAATTCAATACAAAAATTTAAGTCACAAGTAAAATCTTTTCTGCTGCACTACTGTTTCTATACAATTAGAGACTATACTGAGCACCCAAAAGGAAAGGAATTTTAATTTTAACAATGACATTTAATGTATTTTATACCGTGTAGATTGTATAATTGTAAAGAACCTGTAATAAGTAATGTACTTCAGCTTCTGGGTCAATGACCTCCATCTCGATCAGGTTTTCATCCAGTTTCCCTGTTCCTCGAGCAAATACCAAGATGGCCCCTTGTGTTGCTTTTGGACATGAATGTAACTTCAAATGAACTTCTCCCCATAGCATGTCACACACAGTTTTTAACTGTATTTGAAGTAAATAAATAAATAAACAGTTGGCTCTGCAAGTGACTCTGACAAAAAAGTGAAATCAGTTGTCCAACTGCCACCATGCATGATGAATGGAACCCGTTTGGATAAGCACTCATACACCAAGACAGCCGTTCTCTAGAGGAGAAACACCCGACAATATCATTGGGAATTGGTGGATGCTCTTCAGAATAATAGCCTCAACACTAGACAGTTGCAAGATTGGCAGGAGAATTTCGAGGAAGCATAGCAACAAGTGTTCAGCAATGCAGCCTGCGAATGTATGAACTAATGTGGCATGGGCGGATTCAAGCCCCTGCCTAATCAAGCCTTTAGAACCGATATGTAATACTTTTGGAATATTGTGAACTCATACACGCTAAAATGCTTTGGAACATAAAATCAGTCTTGTCATTTTAAATAAATAATAAATATCATTTTTAATAAATCTGAGAAACACAATTTTGGCACAATGTCGTTTAAATGTCAATGCGCTTAGTTCACACCTTGTCTTTTCATGTGTATATTTCACATCGCCACCCATACTCATATTCTCACCAAGAGTTGCCATAACTTATGCCCCAACTCTTGTATATTCTAAGCTTACTAAGTGCTAAAAAACATTATTTCAGCATATGGTACATATTTTTATGAAAACAAACAATACAAAAATCGGTGTTTTGTTGCCGTTGTGAACAAGCATCATGTCTGTAAGAATTTTTGTTGAAATTGATTTATCCAATTTAACTTATTCCACTTGATTTTTTGAAAAAACAAAAATAATAACAAAACAAACTAACAATTGTAATGAAAGCAATCACAAGAAGATTCCACTAACATTGTGACCAATAAGCAAAATTTAGATTTACATTACTATACACTACAAATGACATAATCAAATATTAGTTAAAAGATGGGAAGGAAATAGAAGAGGAAAATAAGTGCCATGAAGTTGATAGTTGAATACTGTAAATTAATAAATTTGTCAGAAAGCACACGAGATAAATTAACAATTTACTTCTCACTGAATTTCATAGCACCACAAATTATATTAAACACATGCCACACACTGACATAAAAACTGAACAGTATATTTACATTTCAATTTAGAACTACGAACTTGGAATACCTTCTCTTGCTTGACACTGTAAGACTATGATAATATTACACTTAACTACACAAAATTTTCCTGCATCAGGAATGCCTAACAAAACTAAATGTTCATTCCTACCTTACAATATAGGTACTCATTTACAAGAACCTTATTTAATCTTGAGCACTAGTCTTCTCGCTATCTGATTGAAAACTATACCGCCAACGCCAGTAAGCAACCTTCATACGGTCCCATACATTCTCCCAAGAGTCCATGGCTGGTCTCACATCAAGAATAGCAAAATTATAGTTTTTAGTATCCACTGCACCACCATCATAGTAATCAATTACATAACGCACTTCTTTCCCACATCGGTCAATGATCCAGTCATGTCGATCAAATGGAAGTTCATACCTGAAAAAAAAAAAAAAAAAATCATTTACTAACGGTTTGAAAATATATTGGAAACATTACAAATCTGTGTTACAACTAAAAGTTTTAACAATATTAACACCTCTGTAGCTCTGGAAATAGAAAATGAGGTTCCAATTCCTTGTTCAACACTCAATTATCAGCATTGTGGAGGAACATATGAAAATATAATAACCGGAAGACAATACCCCTGCATTTTGAAGTGATCATGGATAAATACTTCAGAAACGAGAACCCCTGCATTTTAAATAAATTTAATGATTTTTGATTTGGTCTTCCATTAGTGTACATAACAAAGTTTGAAAATATTCAAAATTCACACGAAACTAAACATAAATTAATTCTCTTTGACACCTTGTTCCTCAGCTGATATCTTCATTAAAAAAAACAACAGAACCTTAAATGACACAGTGTTAACTTATTGAATCCCATCCAATTGAATTAACCAAAAATATAAATTAGTAAATTCTGCTATCTTCCAATTCAAGAAAGGTTTGCACTTACTGTGATCACCTTCCAATGACATTACATAATCATAACATATTCAATTCATAATTTTGTGAAATGTATCTACAAAATAATTCAGGAAAACCACAATTAAAAGATCTCTAGAATCGTTCATTAATTTTTATTATTTTTAGATTTTAACAAGTTCAATAACACAAAAAGGAATATTTTGTTGTAAGGGCACTGCCGTGTCCTGTAAAGTATCAAAAGTTGGCCTTGCGGTTTTCTGGAAGCACTCACCCCATCCAATAACGAATGCGAGCACGAGGAGAATAATCTTTGGCCCGACCTCCAAAACTCTTCAACTTCGGGTGACCACATTCTCGGGCATGGAGAGCTTCCCATTTTAACACCTCCAGCCATGCCTGCTCATTATTTGCATTATGAATGCGAATAATATGACTCATATCTTCTGGAGCTATATCTGCCTCCTTCCACCGCCAACCTTTGCGAAGCATTGCATTCCAAAACATCTGTGAATACAAAGAGACTCATGTGAAAACTGGAAAAGATACCAAATGCAAATATCACTGTCTAAGTTCAACTGTTTGAAATCTATTTAAACCTAATGTCAAAAACCAGATTAACCCTGTTTTCTTCCAAAATTAAAATGTTCCAGAAACTTGTTGCATCACCAATATTTCTGAAATAATTCCACAGATGCATGGCTATATACAATCATCAACCATTAGCATTAGAATTATAACACTGTATCTTTACAGACAAATCAGACATTCAATTCAGTACTTCGCACATAAAACAACTCTTTAGTATTTCAAAATTTTATTTACGAAATTAAATATCATGGTTCATTGATAATTAACAGTATACGCAGTTTTGAAATCGAATTTAACATGAGGATGATTGATGCTTCCAAGCTGGTAAGCCATAAGCGTAGAAGATATTTTATCCTGAGACCAGATGGATGGTGAGATCCGGCATCAATTGGCATGGGATTTAACACGAGGAAAGCTTAGGCTCTCGACTGATTTCCCTGGTGGTGTGGTAGTGAAATGCACATAATAAGTTTGGGCATGTAAAGGGTGAGGTAGAACAAGGAAGAGGAAAGAAAGATCACACATATCCATGGCTGTTTGTCAGGGTACTGATCAAGCATTTGCCTGGTAAGAGCAGAGGAGTTACTAAAACTACTGTTCAGAGGAGCTTGCTTCTACTCCAGATAGCAGTCGTATTCAATTCAGTTATGAAGCTAATGTCAAAAATCTGCCACTGTCAGCATAAACACTACTATCTCCTACTTAGGCATTGCCAAGGATGTGGCAAAATGTTTTCAATTTATTTTGACATTTGCAAGACAATAAAGCATTTTTGTAACAAAAGTTTCACGCAATTAGCATGTAGTCATGACCTAGCTCTTCTTAAATGGAACATGGAAAAAGCTCTCTGTTAAATAACATACACAGTGAACTTGATCTGCTCAAATCAAAATTTACTAAAATTTGAAAACATAAGTATTATTTTGAAATCTTAATAGTGAGAAACTAAATAAAATACTTTGAAATAAGTCATCTAATTTTTTTGAGATAGGTGCTACCTTATCCAAGAAAATGATTATCTGCATGAAGTGTGTGGTAAAGAGAAATATTAAATCATGAATCTGACCTGCTGCGAAGGGTACACCCAAAATTCATTTTCGGTCCCTGCCTTTGGAATACTAGATTTTTCCCTTTCAGTGGGAAGAGGAAATGGTTGATCTGGAGCTGGCTTCTGATTTGGTGCAGGCATCTAATCACAGAAGACAATTTTTTTAAAATTTCACAAGTAGTGTTATCAATCTCTTAATACTCAATATTCATCAACATTCACTTAAAATGCAATACACACATTAAAAATCTTACCATATTAAGAGGATTAATATCATTTTTTCCATGAGAAACAGGACACTCGGATATATATGCCTAAAAAATAACAAATTACATTAATAATTTTTCTTTCTGCCTTTAAACTTCAAATAGAAATAACTTGCTACTCACTTCCTTTTTGTGCATGGGGCACTCAGGAGGTGGTGATCCCCCAAAATGCACAGGATGGTCTGCCTCTTTATGTTGACTCTGTGATCTCGATGGTCCTACTATCTGGGCGGCCGCTAAATTGGCACTTGTTAATGCGTTACCCATACTGTTCGAGCGTCTTGTGAATACCAAAGGTTAATATTCGACGATGTTTTAGATTTTCAATTTACGCACTTATATTTAGAAATTTCAACTCGAAGTAAATTAAACAAAAGCGCCTTTTTCACAGTCCACAAATTCAGAGAAATAATTCGCCAAATTGTACAATAAAAATTAAAAAAGCCGTGAACTTTAACATAACCACACTTATCTTACAGTCTTACGGCCAACCGCGGCCAACAACATGGTTATTGGATTCATTACCAAAAGTGTATCGCAAGGATCCCCCGCTAGAGTGCAGTCCAATTCTATCCATGGTGCCAATTGCATTCTAGCGCAATACAAGCGGCGAATTTGAATATTTCATTCGTAAGGAGATTTGAAGAAGATTAAATTGAAAAGACTACTGTAGATTAATGATTTATTTTTGCAACAATAAATTAATTTAAAATTTTAAACATTATTATTATTATTATTATTATTATTATTATTATTATTATTATTATTATTATTATTAT